GCCAGAGTCAGAGCCAGTCCCGGCCAGGACCCGCAGCAGACGGCAAGTGTCGTTTTGAAAAATTCAAATCTCGTTGCCAATAAAAGCCAATAAAACTCGTAAAATAACTCAAACAAAAAATGTTCGCTAGAAGCGAGGATGCTCTCTGATGCTCTCTGATGCTCTGTTCGTTCAAGTGTTTTGTGTCGCAATGTTGCGGTGGCCATAACAATCGAGAGCAAATGCCTTTTGTGGGGTACTTCCGATTCCTGCGGGTTAAAGTTCATCTGCAGAGTTCGCCATCTCCCTGCCACTGCATTTAGACAGTTTTCCAGCTGCACTCCAGGCACACCAAACATACTCGTATGTACCATACATATGTATATATTTATAGCCCAGTCAGCACAGGGGGCAGAGAGTTGCATAGACGACTCATGGCCCAAAATAGCTTTGCAATTGGATGTGGCACGGCGTCTACACCTGTTGGGAATATGTCGTCAGCAAATGTTGACTGGCGGCGTCTTTTGTCATTAAAAAATGTGCAAAAGTGTATCTTGAAGTAAAATAAATGTGAATTAAGTTATCAATTGAGCAGCAGGATAATTTAGTATTTTACTCACTCTACGAAGGTAAAGGGAGAATCCGGAGAAGAGCAGGAAGGCCGCAACGGAAGACACTGTGTGGCACTGTGTCTTTTATCTTAATAAATTCGAATCAATTGGTATCCGAAATTGAGGCAACTAAACAGTAACACAGAGCTCTCATCATCTGCTTTCCAGACTCAACCAATAGCTTTTCCAATCTACAATAACCTCTTGAGTCATTGGAACAGGATTTGCATCAATCAAATGTTGTAATTTCTGTTTGCCAGTTGGGGCACAAGTCAAGGCATTGGCAACAGTTAAACTTTCACGTCATGTGCGGTGTGCCCTGGTTTCATAGAATAACTATCCATCCATCTATATCTATTCCCATCCCTATGCAAAACCAGAAAATCAAAGAAAACCCAAAAGCAGGCGCAGTTCAATTGCAGCTACCGTTGAATGCAAATTGAAAAATGTTTTCGCTGCTTTTCTCTGGCTATTGTTTTATCTGCAATGTGGAAAACGCATTTTGAATGCAGACAAGACGACTGACCGACAGTCAACAAAGCACAAAGTGAAGTAAATGAAATTAATATGCGGATAGTGTCTGCCTAAGTCGAGGTTCGAGGTTCTTATAGACATTCCCCCCTGACGCACTGGCCGATATTTGAACTGCATTTAGTTCTTCGAGGCAGACATTTTCCTGGCGCTATCGCGATGCCAAATACGCGGCCAGGCAAAAAATCGCCAGCCCCTGGCCCTCTGTCCCTGACAGCCAGCGACAAGACCAAATAAATATAAAACTACAGCAAAAAAAGGATAAAATACTACAATGTTCGGGACGAAGGAATATTCAAACGTTTTCGCATCCTGTCAGAGGATGCCAGCGAGCAGCAAAAACAATTTCGTACATTTAAATGTACGCCAGCAAACTCGCACACATAAAGATTGAAGAGGGGAGGACACGGACCAGGGCTCCAGCTCGAAGAGACAGCATTGCCCATACCATAAATGGTTATTTCCCCCAAAAAGAAAAAATATTGTCTAAGGCGAAATTTGTCTTTGTTTTGCACTTCTCTCCAAGCGTGGCGAACAAAACACATAAATCTCGGCATATGTGCATTAAATTGCTCGCACAAATCCTCTAAAGTATTTCTAAAACATACTTTAATTGCCACTTTAGTTTTTTCAATTGCTTTACTATTGGCCTCCGCTGCCAGAAGTCTGGTTGGGGGCTCGGTTAGTTTACACCTCCACAGAATGGCTCTGTTCTCTCTGTTCTTCGACAAAACTTAATGACCTGAAAACTTTTCGATAATGTGGGTGACTCTCTCCCACTTCATTGTGTGTGTCTGCACTGTGCGGGCTTAGGAAATTATCAACTCGACGCCTTCGCACACAAAAAAGAACGAGGAGAAATGTGTGGAAGGTAGTTTCCAGGAAAACGATTAGAAATTCCTTCTCGGCATTAAAACACAAAGAAAAAAGCCAAGGGGTTTTCGGGTTGACAAAAAAAGTAGTGAAAGATAAGGCTGACAGGCAAACATATTAGGGCTAAGAGTGAAGCTTGCCAGGATTAAATGTGGCCAAATAGCTGAGAATAAATGGAATGAATGGAAGAACCTTTAGGAATGCAGTTGCAATACTGGTAAATATATGATTTTATAAACGCTTAAATGTTATCCTCAAATTGGTTACTTTTTAGTTACTTTCCCTTGAGCAGCACACACTTGGAGCCATTCGGTTTGGCACTATAAAAATAAAAACTGCGGTTTGCCTGCCAAGGCAAGTCAACCCTTTCCCCTGCCAGTCCAGTGCAGACCGTTCTGTCCAGCAATTTGGCAAAAACCAAGTAAAGGCCACGTGACTAACATAACCAAATACAGTTATAGCCATGCGGAGTGCTCGACAAAAATGTTTTGTTTGGCAAAAATCAAGATGTGTGGCGTCCTCCACGCCTTTTGTTGCCTCTCCTCAGGCTGTTGAAGAACTGTTGGCAACATGGGGGGTATCCTATCCTATCCGAGTGGTCCTGCACTCGTACTCGTATGTTTATCTTTGGCCTGGCCTTTGTCTAGCTGAAGTGGTGCTGGAATTCCGCTGGAACGAGGACGCTGGCTCGTTGGAGGCTGGGCCTTGTTGTCCTTTGGCGCTGTTTGGGCAATAAATAAACGTTTAGTTGGGTAGCGGAAACAGGGCGACAGCAACAGCAGTTCCACCCCCTACAGTGGCGAGAGCTTTGCAGAGAGCTAGCTTGTTTTTGCCGCTGGCAGCACGTGCTGCTGTGGTCAACGTGTGGCTCGCATGGTTGTCACAGTTTTTGTTGCTCTTCTCTCCCGCTCGCTCGGCGGTTAACTAACTCTCGTCCGACCTTCGAACTGTAGCCCTCCATTAATAGCAGCGTAATCGGTGCTCAATTAACGCCGGTCGGGTATCCTCCTACAGGGTTGCCTACGCTACACTGAGAGAAAGTTTGTGTTGAATTGCACACAGGATTTTTTGTATTATTATAAATAAAAGCTGATAAGCCTAACCATCTTTGACTGTGGCTCGAACATCGTGGCTTGAGTGCCCACTTCAGACAGTCTTTAATTTTCTTAAATAAGTTTTCCCTTCTTCAAGTGCATGTACAACATTGTGGCCTTTATTTAACATGCATTTATTAGGAATTTATTAGCACTGGTTACATTTTTACATCGGACATTTTTGCACTTGCATACAATTTTTACACTGGCGCCACTCGTTTCATAACTCAGACAAAGTATCCACTCAGGATGAGTAGAGCCGAGCAGGGACACCATGCATGGTGTGTGCGTGTGTGTTCTGGAGGGTTCCACTTATTCTGATTGGCATCGATATGCTCTCCGAAGCTGTCCTTGCATGTGCTAAAACCTGTTGACCATTTGCATTCATTTAACTCGAGCAGCTCTTCAAGAAGCTCTCCCTTGAGCTGCTGGAGAAAGACTTTCAGGTTATCCCTTCTGCTTTTGGAGCTTTTGCACTTTTTACTGCCTCATTTAAATTCTAATTTTATGACTGCGTTTATGTTTTTGTCGAAAGGCAAACCCATCTATTTATATATCTTCTTTCAGATCTGCTTGCTCCTTTTTCCTATTGCATATGCATTCATACTCGTAATTGGAGTTGGGAAATTGATTGTTGCACAGATTGTCATCGGGTATACCTTGAGGGAATCGGTTTCATACACAGAACATTTCATTAGAGCAGGAAAAATAGTATTAAAATATACAACAAATATAAAACTAGTGAGGTTAGTCATTGTTGCTTAGAGATTGTAGATTACCAAAGTCAGAAATAAGTTCGCTTTAGAAATGAGTTCGCAAATTAACATCTACTGAAAGCATTGAACTTGAACTCTGTGAATCCAAAGGCAGTGCATATAGAATGGTATTAATATTGTTTATTGAATCAAAATCTAGTCTGCCGAATTACAATCTAAAGCTCTTGTTTTTAGGTAACACTTCTGGGCATTCTGTAAACTGCAGATATCTGTAGTCAAGCAGGCTCATTTGTTGGCTCAATTGTTCTATTATAATTATAATATCGTTTTATTCATTCATATATATGTAAGTATCTGCAAAATATATTAATGTACATACATAAATACATGGCGGTTGTTATTCTCTATGTTCTTCATTTCAAATTATGAAATCTTTTGATTAGGTCAAAGGGTTTTCAGCAACAATTATGTATATTCCCACAGCTGCACAGATCTCCTAATCACTGACTTAAAATAAATCCTCAGCACAAATTCTAGCCTATGCCTCTATGTAAGATGGAGCACCCACAGTCGAGTTCCCTGCATGTTCCCCAAAACCACGTGCTCTCATAAATCTTCAAGCACTGTTCATTTTTTTCGCGGGCCAAACCGAAAACTCTGGACTCGCATGCGGGCACGTGAATATTCCAAAAAATTTTAAAACTTGAGAACACATTAGAAGAGAAAGAGCAAAAGATAGAGAGAGAGAGAGAGAGAGAGAAATGCAGTAACAAAAACACAGAGAAAGCTTTTCTGCTGCTGCTGCTGCGGCTGCTTTTGCTTCTGCTGTGACGCTGACGACGAAAATTTGCCGAAGAGTCGAACGCCCAGACGAGCGGCAAAGTCAGTGTAGAGTGTCAGGGGTGTGGGGGATCATTTGTACCGTTTGTGCGATTGTCGTTCGCTTGGAGCGCAGCCAGTTGGAATTGCAAGCGACGCACATGGGAGAGCACCAGAGAGAGATAGAGACAGAGAGAGTGGAGTGTGAATGAGCGTGGGGTGGGGCGGTGGGCGATGGGACCGACCCAAATGCTCTGACGATGACGACACAAAAAGCAGCGAGACGACTGCGACGACGACGACGACGACAACGACGACAGAGATAGAGACAGAGACAGAGAGAAGCAGCGTTCGAGGGCCTCTGGTGCGCTTTTTGGCAGCCCGTGCGAGCAGTCGTCAGTCAGTTGGCCAAGAAACTGGTAGCGTCTGGTGTTGCGAGCCAACAAAAGGCTGGCAGCCATCACCGGACCGGACCGGGGCTACACGGCCCCGGGAACCGGGACCGGGACGGACCCTTGGCCACCGGTTCTGACTGCGGATTGTGGACTGCCAATTGAGTTTGAGTTTGAGTTTGAGCGACGCGTAGCCAGCCAAGAAAAGTGGCCAACAACAACTGGCCCTTACCCCCTGGCCATGGCACTGAGCCTGAAGGTGGCCCAAAGAAGACGTTGCCACGCAGCCAGGATGTGGAGTGTAAGCAGTGCCAGTGGCAGTGGCAGTGGCAGTAGCAGCAGCAGCAGCAGCGTAATTTTTTGGCCGCACTCGCCATTTGATTAGCCAACTCAAACATCAGGGCCAAGATCGAGCAGGGCCAAACAGCAGTTGATGGCCAATTGACAGCTCCGCAGACACGCAGACCCACACCGCACGCGATTGGACACACGGATGGACCACACAGAGGACCCCACCATCTGGATGCTCTTCCATGTCCGTCTCGACCATACAGCAATCATACAGAAATAACATCAATTAAAAGAAGAAGAAGGAGGAGCATCATTCCGCAACACCAACAACCAGTTGCTGCTGTGGTGCAAAAGTGTGTCCAAAAGTGTGTGTGTGTGTGTGTGTGTGTTGAAGTGTGTGTGGACTGACCAACATGCGGTGCCAAAAAGAGTGCCAGAGAAGGAGGCCTGGCTCGGACCCAACCAACAACCAACAAAAAAGTGCAACTGGACAGGAACAACAACCAACCTTTGGCAATGTTGATTGTTTCAACGGACCAGACTTAATGTAATGAATCGTCCTGTACCATCAGCACGTCAACGGAGCCAGGCAAATGCCAGCGAAGCCTCAAAGGATCAACATCATCCACAGAGAGGCACTTCAAAGCAAACAAAAATAACAAATAAAGTTATAAACATTTCAAAATAGTGAACGTAGTGCTTAAAACTCTCTACTCTATATATGAACAATAATCAAATTTAATTTAATCACACATAAAATACTCAACCGAAAGCAATAACTTATATTGAATACTTAATCCCCGCAATAACTATAACTACAACGTTATTGACACTTAATCAACTTCTATAAATACAACAATAGAACAAAGAATACTCCTAAACTCTTAGTGAAATGTATAATACAAATCTGGTTACATCGAATACGTGGTAATGACCAGCACTTGTAGACAATTATTTGTTCGATTGAGATCGAACCTAAATTCAATCAGCACGGGGAACTTCTCTGGTCTCGTCGAGCATAAGATTATATGACACGCCATGCCACAGCTGGACCGTTGGAACGAGTGGAGCTGAACATAGTGGAGAGAAGTGGATGAGAAGAGAACATCTGAGTTAGGAAGAGTGCCAGAATAATGGTAAGTTAAACGGGATTCTGACAACAGCTTTAGGTGCTCATGGGAGTGGGATAAACATAAGAGAAATTCACAGAATTGAAACTCAAACTATAAATGAATCAGGAACATATATTAGAGGCAGATAGACTTAAGATGACTTAAGTCAGAGTTCAAACCTTAAGGTATATTTCTAAAACAAGCCCAATGAATAGAAAAGATATACAGAATATCAAATGGATTTATCTAGTTAATTGTATTTTATTGAAATAAATCAATAACAGATTTGGAGAAGAGGAATCCAAAATTAAATTCTTACCAAGTATGAAAGAAAGTAAATGCGAGATTCATCTTTAGAGATCGAATGCATTTTTTTCCGATTTTTGCATGCAAGAAACTCCAAATTCTTAACAGCCAATAAATGCATAAAAAAGTTATAAGTTATGAATTCATTCATTTATTACATCACAATATGTAGATATTTAAATGTATTCCCAAAACAATTATTGCTTTTATTGCCAATATGTAGATATTTAAATTTCGTCCCAAAACATTTACTGCCATTTAATCTATGCTTTACTAAGGCCAAGCCTGCCACCCAAAGCTTATGATAACCTTTCAACCGAAACACATACACAGCATTCAACACCCCGTTTCTCACACGCCAAGACCAGCTGTTGCCACATGGTGATAATCGTACGCCAAAAGAGTGAAATCTCATCCTCTCATCCTCAAGACCCAAAAATCCCGCATAGGAAGAGCTCACAGAGCCACATCCTGGCGCCACATAAATAAGGCCGAGTGCAGTGCACAAATGACAACGAAAATGTTAAATGCGCCATAGGGGGGCGTGTCCGGAGAAGAGTCATCCAACATCTAGTCGGACTCCCAAACGAATTTATAGGCCTGGCCCCAAAAATGTTAAAGTCCTCGCTCCCACAACAAGGGATTCATACTGGTATACCAGCAGCCTCCTTCGATCTCTATCACTGCTTGCCTTTATGGTTCAATGAACAGAGGAAAAGGATGAGTTACAAGTGCGGGAAAGGGTCTCAGACTGAGCTCCACACCAAGAGCCATGACCACATTCCCCCGCCAAACATTTGCCGCAAGATAAAACGAAAATCATATATCAGAAATTAATCTCATAGATAGATTACTTTTTTTTATGAACGTGCAAGCAAAAAAAAAATGAACGCCAGAACACGCCAGAGTACATTGTACTTTGGACAATTAATTTTGGTTAAATATCCGAGTGTCTGCCTGCCTTTGTAGTTCCCAATTGGAGCCATTAAATTTCATAGTTTTTGAATGTTGAATTCGAAATTTTAAATTCTCAAAATTTATGACTGTCTGCAGTGCGGAGGAACACAACAAGTCCCAACAATCAGAAAGTTGTACAAAAAGAGATTTACGAGCCATTAGAACAATTAAAAATCTTTCAACCTCTCCCATAGTTAATTGGCCGGAAAGAGGGGAAGTACTCTCTCTCCATCTTTCCCGAGGCAGAGCCAAAAAATTAACACGAAATTTAATTGCCAAGGACTTAGGGCAGAACTCTCCGGGCATTCCTTAATGTTTCCACATTAATTTTGTCTTCACTTGGTTTCAGTTTTTTCCTGCTGCCTTTCTGCTGGCAATGGTCGAACATTTTTTTTTGTGCAGTCCGTTGAAAAGGAATTTGTTGACACCAACAATGTTTCGGACATCCTGGCAAATAATTCTCTTTTTTTCGGGGTATCCCTTTTCTCTCACTCTTTCTTTTTTTTTGTCAGTTTGCCCGGAAATTGGCAACTAAACCAAACTCAGTCAAGTCCAAGGCATTGTGTCTTTTCTCCTTGACTGGCTGCATATGTCCGGCCAACAAAAGGCTCTCTCCCCGGCTCGCTGCTCTGTCCCTTTATCAGTGCTTCCGCCAGAGATTGGGATTCAAATTCCGATTCCCATTTTGCATTTCGCTGTGCAATGAAAGGCTTGAAGATTTATGTCCTGCATTGATTTTATTGATGGCCCGCGAAGGACATTTTTAAACGCCAAGTCGAGCAATTAAAACTAATTGAATTGCCAGTGAGAAATTGTTTGTCAAAGAACATTAAATACAAATTCCCAGCCAAGAATTTAAGTTGTACATCCTTTAGGCTCTGCCCACTTCCTTCCTTTCCACTTTGTGTCTGATTCAGTTTTGCCGACAGTCGAAAACCATAATTCTCAATGGCCTAGACAGGCGGCAATAATAAAACAAACAAACAGATAAATCGCCAAATTATGATTTCAGTGGTGCTCCGCGTGGTCCTCCTGCAGTCATCAGAGCCGCCCAGAACTTTGTCTGCCCTTTGGTCCAGTATTCCGTATCCAGCCAGTAATGATTTACTCTATTTGCATATTTTTGCACTTATAAAAATGCACAAACGATTTTTCATTCTCATTTTTCTTAAAACTTATTAGTGCGCCCGCTCGGCCATACTTTGAGCGGACATTCTTCTTTCCATATTTTTTTTTCCAAGTTTTTCATTTCTTTTCCCTTTTGATTCTTTTTTTATAATGATGGTCCAGGCCTTTGTTATTTATTTGTTATGCATTTTGGTCCGCAACTTGGTCCAGCACTGCGTATACGTTATGTGCTCTGGGGTGTGAGGTTGGGGATGCAGTTTTCTCTTCCTTCATTACGTATACGCCGCATTGTCGCAGTTTGCAGTTGGCAGCGCCTACCAGTCTGAGAAAAAGCCTGCAGTCAGCAGCCACCAGTCAACACTTAAGAGATGTTCCATCTTCCAAGACATGTTCCGAGGTGGGGGTTATTTTTATTCTTTCTGAAAGGGTTTACTGGTTGTACTCTGCCAGGGGGTATTCCGACTTTGAAGAGATGTTTGCAAAGCAGATTCAAATGTCTGCATGAATATCCGTAGCTACCTCTCGATTTCCCTCGTTTTTTGGTCGCCTAAAAAGTGCTCTAAACAAATTCTCAGAAGATCGTTTCCAAGTCGTCACAAGCATCCACAGAATTTCTAGCAAAGTTCCTCAAATTATAGCGTATCCCAACTTCGCTGTGGCAGCTTTGGATCTACGTCCTCTTTTGCTTTCTATTCTTATTCCTTTCCTGTTTGGCACCATCACTGGGCCCGGCCCACGTCCCGGCCGTACCGGCCCTCTTCGCCTCTGGAAGCCAAAAATCCCAAGCAACATAAACATCAACAAACGTGGCCAGCAGTCGGCATATTCTGCTGCCAAGATTTTTAGCAGCTTTGGCAACGCATCCTGCGGAATGTGTGTGTGTGCGTCTGTGTGGGGGATGCCGGGCTGTGGCAGTAGCGTGGCCAGGGGTCGCGTGTCTGGCAACGGATCGAGCCGGTGGCGCCTCTAACTTGGCAATCTCATTATGATTTTAATTGCTGACGCACATTTTTGACGAGCTGCCCAGTATTTCTCTCGCTCGGAAAACGTCATCGTTGCTGCTCGATTGTGGTTGAATTGGCCAAACAACAAAATTCTTGGCCAGAAATTTGCTGGCACTTGCCAACAGGTGTCCAATTATCATTATGATTATTGTATGTTTATCAAATTTATGTGCATGCAACCAGATAATGACGTTTGATTGGCCTTTGGCAAGGCCGTTTCAGCCTGCCGGTTGGCCAAATGTCAACGTCTTGTAAAATTTATTGGCCAATATTCAAAGAATTTTTTGTTTTTTGAGTCTGTCCCTCTCTCTCTCTCCCTCTTCTATTTGGTGGTTTTGGCAGACAGTTAATATTCAAAGATTTGTTTGCCAATTTCCCGATTCCGATTCCGTTTCCGAATCCGAATTTTCATTATATCTTTCTATTGCTCTTCATTTTCTGTTTTCTTTTGATTGACTTTCAGTTTTCATCAGATTTCAAGACGAACACATCGCTGACAGCTGTGAAAGTTCTGTTAGTGAAGTCTGAGTCATCCCACTGCCATTTGAGCTCTCCAGCTGTAGTCAATAAAACAAAACAACTTGAGCACTTTTTGTACACATAAATCCACGCTGAAAAACGTTTGCTGTTGTTCTAAAATGTACGCAAAATAATCATTACCATTTTGCTTGTTTCTCTCTCTCCAGTTGTAGAATTTTCATTCACTGAAAAATATTATTGGTTCGATGTTTACAAAAGGGGAAATAAATATGACTTTTGTTTGAATAAAAATTGGTTTAGAAACACGTCCACTGACAGTGCTACCCGTCTCGTAGCAAAATTTATAGATCCCTAACTATGATTATCGTAAAGCTTTTCGTAAAGACATGCACCACATGAAGATCCAAGTACTTATTTCAATAAAATGTCAGCTTAAATTAGCATAAATTGTGTTGATGATCTATGATATAATCAGCAACCTTCATTATGTACCCTAGTATAACCCAATTAGAGCCCCGAATCTGTTGCTTGCAACACTATCAGATAAATAAACTGCAGTCTTACTGCGGATCTCAAGGTTCATTTGTTTACGATGAGCACAAACACATGCACAGAAAACGTGCAAATTAACGAAAAAAATTCGAATTAAAGCTAAGAAAAACGAACACTAATTACAATTTGTGCCGCATCGCCCTATAGACTATAGACACAAAAACGACAGATTCAGACAGATGGAGGGAAGAGGCAACAAAAAAAATCAGACCGAGCGAACAGACCACAGTGCCACACGAAATACATTTTCGATGAAGCAACTGAAATAGATTAAAACGAAAAACGAAATATACTACCAGATGCATTTGTATCTGTAAATGTATCTTTTGCAGCGTTCGCTCTACGAGTGGATGTAGTATTAGTTGTGTCCACAAAAATAGACGCAGCGGCGACGCTTTCAACGCGTCTTTGCCCGCGTCAATTGCGCGTCATCGCAACTCAAAGATCCAAGAACACATACGAGAGCCAGTCTACATACCTATTTATATATGGTATATAACACAGTTTCCCCTTGCCGCAGCCCCATTACCGCACCACCCGGAGGGATACATAAGGGCAGGCGACAGTTCTGCGCAATTTTCTCGGACTTTTCTTTTCGGCTCTTGACGGTTTTATCGCTTTTTGCGCCTTTCGCCTTCGTCTTCGATCTTCTTCGGGCCGCCCGTCAAGTGTGTCCGAAAATAGCAAGGTAAATGTACAAATTCTACACGGCAAGAGCGAGGCAAAATCAAGAAAATTCAGCCAGACAAAAAAAATTGTAGAAAAATACAAGCAACCAAAATGCCGACTTTTAGCTTCTAGAACAAATAAATAAAAGCAATTTTCCCTCGGAAAAACATTGAAAAACAACAACAGCAAAGTGAAAAGATCAGAAACAACAAAAGCCCAAAAAAAAAAGAAGGAAAATGAAATAGGAAAAACGATTTGGACAGCGAAATTTGTTTAAAACGCCAAAGACTTTCGTACTTTTTGCGCTGTCCGTGAGACGATCCATCGTAGTGGCTACGATCTATATAGAAATCTAAGTTATTAATTCGTTCCGTCTGAATGCTGTATAAAAGATGATTTTTTTAAGAAAAAAAGCAACGAATTTAACACAATAAAAAAATTAATATATCATTTTTCTTAATATTTAATGAACACATTCCTTTGGTCACTCGTTTGGTACCAATTGGTTTAAGATATTGTATTATCTATAGTAAAGTAAATGAGATCATCTAGGGTGAGATCATTGGAATATATGTATGATACAGAGAAGGCCTCAAAGATGGGATATTCTGATGGAATTTTGGTAGGAAATAAAAACCTTATTTATTGACTTTAATTTTAAAATTGATCCAACGATGATGTCTACGTTAGATAAACCACAAAAGCACATACCCAAAAGAGCCTTTCACTTACATAATTTACATTTTCACACACTTCAAAGCTAAAGAATTGTCGACCATGTTCTAGAGTGAATAATGAATATGAAATCACCATAAACAAAAATAAATGCAGGGATAATTTGTCATAATTTGGCAATGATTAGGCTCATAAATTGACTTAACCAAGTTGGAGCAGCTGCCTCAAAGGCAATTAAGAGCACGTGTTGGCCTAGCCTCCCCAATGGTACCATCTCACTGGAGCAGTTCCGATGGCCATAATTCAATTAACACGTGCATCGGTAATGAAAGAGAGAGGGGAGTAAAACTCGGCATTTTCTGGACTGAGTAACATTTGTGGTGGGCCGCAATTGGCAGCTGTTCAATAACACAATTCTGTGACGTCAAGACCAGCGACCATCGACCTGACCTTAGGCAATGCGAGAACTCTCCCGAAGTCATTCAGTGATGAAGAGGATGATGATGATGAGGGTGAGGATGAGGATGAGGATGAGGATGAGACTCTGAGGCTGATTCCGATTCCGATGCTGATGCTGATCGAAGCAGACAGTGTGTCTGGGGCCGGCATCTCGAAAACTTATTGGCAAAACTCCATGATCATAAATTATGTCAGCTTTCGTTTTGTTTACGCATCAGGCGTTTGGCAGGGCCCCATCGGCAGGTGGCGCTTTAATTACATTGTAGCATCGTTATTCGGAAAATACTCTGACTGGTATGGGGGAATCCCCCTTCGAGCGAGCCGCTTGCCAAGATTCTGCATTACGCAATAAAGTTCATTGCCATCCCGCCATCTCTCAGATGCTTTCTTTCTTTCATTTCATTTCATGTCTTTTTTTGTTGGTTTTTTTGGAAGCGAGCGTGAGAAAAATTCTAGTCAAGATTTTGGCAAGCTACCATCTTGGCAGAGGCCCATTACCCATTCCACCTCCACAACACCACGGTGGCACAGTGGCCTAGGTCTATAAAAACGTGAGATAAGAATAGATGATGGAGGGATACGGGAAAAGGGAACCAGATGCTAGCTGACACTGAAATCAGAGATAAGAGTTTCGAAATTTTATATGTATTTAACTGAATTTAATAGGTGGACTCTGGAGAAGGAGGTGGACACTGATTTACTGATACTTTCCACAGGGTTTCATAGTTGTATTATTTGTACACTGTACTCCTCCTAATGGGTGTCCTAAATTGCTGACGTATCTGGTGCCTGGCCCCAAGCTAATGTGTTCCATTTCTCTTCATCTTTTGTCGTTGCAGCCGACTAGGCCCAAAGGAAACCTCGTTGGCCAATTGGGGAGTTTATCCAGGCGGAGAGCCAAACTGAAACTATCACAGGCCTGACCAACCAATGGCAGTTCAGTGCGGAATTGAAGCCTGATGCAAAAGGGGAACTGCGGGCGGGGTAAGCACAGAGCCAGCACAATCGGCGCGCAAATGCATTTGGCAACATTTCAAGCTGTCCAGGAAGTTGCACACTCACTCACACGCTGCACGGGGATTGGTGGCAAGTTTGCCAAGTAATTCTCTGACCTGCCTCGCTCACATGCGCATGGAAAGACGTTTAAGTAATATATCAACCATACGCCTGTTGGCCGGGCACCGAGTCCTTGCCTCCACGACCTCTTAAGTGTGTGTGTGAGTGTGCCGAGGAACACGAGGCTTGCCAACTGCATTGCAGGCCCGTTGCGATTCAACTTGTGCCTGTGGCGAGCCCCGACCCGAGGACTCCCCACCCAACCATCCCCCAACACGAACGATGAGTCCTTTGCAGGCAGCGCATTGGCTGCAGGACGACTGGCGACAGAACGACCAATCGCAACAGAGCTTGTGCGCACTATCCCGGCCGCCCTGCAGGCCCCCCACCGGCACGAGTCACGGCAGCAGGACCAGCCAGAGGACTCAAGCTGATTGCACTATCCAACATTTAAACGAAATACTTAGTTACATAAAATATTGTAGTTCTTTAGTCGTAAGTCACATGCCCAAGCCTACGCCCCCGAAACACCATCAGCACGGGGGGCGTGAAAAAATTAGTTTATATTTATCTTAGAGTTTCATGCAACATATAAAAATATAATGAAGATTTCACGAAATGCGTAAGAAAAAAAAGGAATAAAACCGGCAAAGCTCCAGAGCGGCAACCAAAAGTGTTTTTGTTTTTTATTTATCATCAAATGAGTTTTGTGGCTTTACAGATCATCACCAATCATCACCCGACCAGATGGGATAGTACGGATGCTTGTAAACCATATTCTTGGTCTTCTCGTTGCGCCATCTCAGATGTTTTACCACCAAAAACGATTGGATGAAAAAAACAGCAATATTGACAGCAAGCAGGCTGTAGTTCTTGGGTATAATAACCACCGAGTAGCGGGACCAGATCAAGCCAGTTACCGCCAGGGAGCCGCATTGATTCAGCGAAATATTCTGAGCAGGGCGACTCAATGTGTCGCCTAAACCAGCCGCTACTAGGCCCTAAATGTACAGCATTTATACGGTTTTCAACCCGTATTATAGTTTGTTACTTACCCACTTAAAGAGCGGGGCCCAAAAGAAGACTGTGCGTGGTCCTAACGAAAGAGTTTTCGATCACTTATGGATCATTTACATACAGCACATATTCGACTTACCTGCTGGTGACTGCCACAGCGGCTGAGCACTTTTGGGCACAAACTTGTCTACGCTGAGAATGATAACATTATACAATTTCGACAAAGGTCCCGTGCCCTTGGACATGATTGGATAATGATCGAAAAGTTGTAAGTTTTTTAAATTTTGAATTTTGTTAGAGGCCTGACTTATAGTCTTGGCTCTGTGACACAACTTTTTGACTGTAACATATTTGAAGTAAAAATACTTGATAATAAACAGGAGGATTGATGTGGAAAAGTTGTTGTGACGATTCATTGCACAGAAGTTCAAATCAAAGAAGATAGCTGTCAAGCTCTAATGTACTTATTTATTTAGATTCCAATGCTATTATTTAGGGATATCGAGCTCGTCCACCATTTGATCAAAATATGTGCACGTAATCTATATTCACCATTACTGCATGCTCCCTTAAGGGTTAAGCAGCCAAAAAGTCATCATTTTTATAGGCCTGTTCCAGTTTATTCCTCGAGATTAATGTTTGTGGCCCCAAGACTACTGTCTACTTTGTCTACAAGAGCACAAAAACCTCAAACGAACGGCAAAGTTTCAGCAACAAAGTAGAGTTTAATTCCCATACACTATATATGTAAATACATATTGCTCAAATGAAAGAGTATGTGATGTTTCATGGATGGTATGTGCATTAACTTGGACCGATTTAATACTTTCAAGTTGGCTATAAAACGTAAGCTTTTTGATCTCGAATTTGTATGTATATGTTATGTGTGTGTATGTACATGGTAAGAGCATAAAATATATGAATAATATATATTGCAAAAATACATATATGTATGTGTGTGTACATGGTATGTATTGCGTATATAAATTCTCTCTATAAACTTTGTATATATTGCATATTAATGTTAATTAGTTTAATGGTTTACATCTGAACACTTAAGAATCCACCGTACTATTCGGGATTTTACAACTTTAATCCTAATCATATCTGGTTAACGCGTTTTACATAAGTGTGCAACATTTATCTGTGTATAAATGTATTCAAAAACTGCGGCATTGTTCGTTAAAATGGGGTTGGGGTTTGCTAAAAATATACATACATATTTAGGTTAAAAAAACAATATCATATCGATAATTTAACAGATGAAAATTAATTGTTTCGTAAAAGTAAACGATTAAAATAAATAAAGGCCAACAAATCCGTAAAATATTGTGTACATGCGATCATAAGGGACCTCTGCGGTAATGTCAAAGCAGTTGTTCGGTGACCAGCACAACGCTCTGCTCCTGCGCAATAGCCGCCAACTCTTTGAGCCACTCATCTAGCAGGACAGCACACAGAGCCACGTCCCGGGTGCGCTCCGTGCCGCTGGTGCTGGCAATAATGCCCATGGAGGCCACCGAATCGAGGGAAGCTGGCTCCGAGTTGAAGCTGCCCGTCTGTGGACCACCATCAAGGCCATGCAATGTGCTTGACGAATGTGTCGTGGTATTGGAGTGGGCGGAGAGAGTTTGCGTCGATCCACCAATGCTGACGTTGCTGTTGCTGCTGTTGTTTCCATTAGCTGGCGTCGCTGAGCCTGCTGTTCGTGCTGCTCCCGATTGCGGGTGGGTGCTCAGGCTGGTCTCACAGGTGCCAGGGCCAGGGTATGCCTGCGCTTGGCCACCAGATCCGGAGTTGTTGTTGTTGTTGTTGTTTCCCACCAGCGTTGAGGCAGCTCCTAAAAGACAGCATCAAGATTAGCAAGATTTCATGGCGATGTTGAGTCCTTGGGTAGGTTAATTCAAACAACAATAACAACGACAACGACAACCAACAGCAAAATGGGTTTACTCAAATGTTTTCTTTTCTTTTTTTTTAATTCTAAATTTTAGTGGGGGTGGGTGGGTTAGCATTTTACTATGTACGTAGCCTCTACACAGGCTACGGGAACAAAGCTACGGAATATAATTTTTAGCAATACTTTTTTTATAATTTTTGGATTAGGTTTTAGTTTTAATTAAACTTTAAATACTTTTTATCAAGCGTGAAATATTTACCGGTGAAGAATGCGTAAATTTGTGATAAGCCAGATGAAGCTAAGATTTGTTTTGGTTTTTGTTTTTTTTGTTTTGATTGTTGTACGAGTATCAATAAAAAAAGTAAACAAAAGAAATCAATTAATTATTAACAAACGACGCCAGCGGGCATTTTACAAGATGTTTATGTGTGTGTGTGATAAACCAGAGAGAGAGGAAGACAGAAAACCCAACATGAGATTCAGCCAAGTGGACCAAAACACTTTTTGTAAGCATATAAAACTCGTTTTTAGCGAGACTTTAGTGGTCACCAAAGATACATTTAACTCTCATTTTTTGGTCCACTCTGTGGGCTCATGCAGTGCTTTAATGTGATTGTGTGTGTGTGAGTCTGACTTTGTGATTATTACGACCCGAAACCAAGTTTCTTCCAACATCCAACGCAGCAGATTTGTATAGTTTTTTTTGTATAGTTGGTGAGTTCTTGTTTTCATTGAAAAGACAAATTGTGCAGAAATTACGCAGAAAGCGCTGCTAGGCTGACTACTCACCGGCAGAGGGAGGGGGATTGGGTGTGGATCTTCTGCTAAACATGCTGCTAATTGATTTGCTGATGCTCTTCCGCTTGTTATCACTTCGCTTGAACGGATCGTAGGCGCTGCTTGGTGTGGCCTGCACAGGTGTGGCTGCCGACAGTGTCGCATAGGCGGAACGTTGTTGGCCTTGCTGCTGCTGTTGCTGCTGGGAGGATGTCGTCTGCGGCTGCTGATGCTGATTATAATGCAGGGGAGAGTTCTCGTTACCCTTGCGGGCATTCACCAGACGAAATTCGCGATCAATCAGCGACGAGCGTGCCACATCGATTATCTCCAGCGAATCCTCGGTCACTGGCAGCTCGGCATCGATCTGTTGCTTCAAAATGCGCAACACCTGATGGAACGAGGGCGTGTCCGAGGTGATGGCTATGTCAGAACGCAACAGCAGCGAGTGTATCAGCGGTAGCGGGTACCAGGCCAGGCGTGTAATCAGCCCAGTCAGGTGTAAATTCACATACAAAGAGTTGCTCGTAAAGGTTTGCAGTTTTCCCCAAATGGCATTGAGAAAGGGACCTGCAAATGCATCGAAAAAGTTAAATTATATTTGTGATTTTCATTCCTCTCTATGTTTACCTAAGCTTACGGTGCCCTGCGCAAACAAATCCTCTGAGAAATCCAAATCTGTAAGCACCAGCTCGTTACGATTGTTGTGCGAGATACGCCAAGATTCTGCCCGTCGTCCGCTGCTGATGCTGCTGCTATTGTGCTCAAGATCCGCCTCACTCGCTGTCGTTGCTGTTGTTGTCGTAGTGAGGTCAGTGGCATCGCTCTCCTCATCGGCAGGCCGCCACTTGAATGATTCATAGCCACTGGACTCGCCAATAGACTGCAGGCTGTCCAGCTGTTTCTCCCCCGCCGATTCACTGGCTATGGCGGGTGGGCCACCGCCAAACTCGCTGAAGAACTGCCTGGCCAGCTCCAGGGCATGCGCGTGGACACGTGCCTGTCCGTGGCGAGGCCATTTCTGATACCGATAGCTATTCGCCCACTTCAGACAATCCCGCTGGCACTGAGCTATGCGCCAGTGCGCCTCAAACAGATACGCCTGCAGGTTGGCATACAAACTGTCGCCGGTGTGCAGGCCATAGTAGTTCCAGTTGGCTCCAATTGTCTTGCTCATGGCTGGCGAGGGCAGGCTGGGCCATGCCACTGGCTGCTCAACAGCTCCTCCAGACGCGGGCTGCGGCTCGTGGAAACTCTTTGGCCTGGCCAGGTCCCGGGCACGCTTCAAGACATCCGGTGAGAGTTCCAGAAAGAAATCACTGCTATTCAGATACGGATCGATCTTGTTGATTTTGTGACGATGCGAGATGGGCACATGCTTGCCCGGCAGCATGAATTTGAGCAAAAGTTCCAGCATCAGATCCTCGCAGTGTAGACCCAGCAACGTGTCGAACAAAGCCATCGTCACCATACATAGATTGGCATCTGGGGAGTTGAGTCGCTCGACCAACGAGTCCAATATCCGTTCGCCATCGAACTTCTCCGTGTCCAGCAGGAATTTGACAAAAGCACGCAGCAGGCCGGGCTCAGTGATGGAGCGCAGTATTAGATCCAGATACGACATGGCTGATATTTGTGAGTCGATGTTCGTCTGAAAATGTTTGCCCTTCAGTGTCTGCGAAAAAGGGAGCGCAAAAAGTTGTTCCGAGATTTCGAGGTGTGTGTTTGTTTGTGGGTGTGTGTTTAAGGTAAGGCACAACAAAAAAAAAAGAAAAGAAGAAAACAAACAGAAGAAACTGCAATATCAAGCAGCATTCATTCGTCTTGGACAGAACAGAACGAAGAGCACATGAAAAGCATCGAAATGTAAGGAGAAAAACAAAACAGAGAACAGAGGACACAAAATGATACGCTTGCAACCAACACCACAGAAATGCATCGAAGACAAGTTTTGCACGTAAATAGAGACAAGAGACGTGACGAGACTCACTTGTAGAACGGCTGGCCCCAGCACGGGCACTATGAATCCCTGGTACATGAAGTCCAGCAGCTGTTGCTTGATCATCTCGTGGGCCACCTGCACCACAGCATTGCAGAATTCGAGGGCATTCATGAACAATGTGAGCTCTGGTATCTCCGTCACATCATCCGGCGTTATGCGATGCCAATCGATTGAACTGATCTCAATGCTGTTGGGCAGCCGGGAATATAGACCGCCCAGTCCGGTCACCAGCAGCGGACAGATGGATGAGTATTGTGCTATGTAGGTGCCAATATTGGAGTTCTTCTGCGAGAGCGCCATGCAAAGGAGCAGAGCATCGCGTGCCTGATGGCCGAGACTTCCCTCCCGATGCACATACGGAATGAGCAGCGAGAAAATTATGAAACTGAAAGTAGTTAAATGTGAATTACTGAGAGAACAACAATGCTATGGATTTGCTACTCACTTGGTGGTGGTTCCACTTTTGGGGGGCGGCACATTGCCATTTTGTATTTGTTCCTGTACTTGGGTCTGCGCGGAAAAGAAGAATAGATCCAGCAGATGGACATTCTGCATGAGTACGACGCACAGCTGGTTCAGCAAGATGACCAGTCGCTTCTCCAGATCGGGGGGAAAGATCTCACCCTGACTGGAGGCCAGTATCTTGAGCAGTGGCCTCAGGAAGGGCTCGTGGCAGAGCAGCTGATGCCGCGAATGACTGACGAGCAGCTCGTACAGCTTCAGCTGCTCCAGTCTCACCGCATTGGCATATCGGCCCGTTGTGCAGGCCCACTCGTACAGCTTGTCTAACAGATTCTCGCTGAGCAGGTACTCCAGACAGGGGGCTGCGGGCGCACTCGCGTCCGTAGAGGGTAAAGACACTTTGTTGCAATGATGCAGCTCCACCAGTAGCAGCGTCACCATATAGTCCAGATGCGACACCACGCCCAGGACATCGTCATGGCTGGGCGGTGCATAGTGCTGGATGATGTCGTATGCCTGCTGCCAGTGCTTGCAGAAGCTGTCGTAGCAGGCGCGCGGATCACAGTCGGTGGCTGCATCTATGGGCCTCTGTCGCAGGCTGCCCGTGGATGAGTGGCCCGTTGAGACACCGCCACCGCCCCCGTTTCCACTCTGACGCAGCGGACTAGACCGCAGCCAGCTCATTTTGGTTAATTCCGCAGCACAAAGATTGTTGGTTTGGTTTCTTTTGCTGATAACTCGCTCTTCTGTCTGTGTGTGTGCGCGCTTCAATTTGGCATGTGTTTGTAAGTATATTATCGCAGTTTTTGTGCTTATGTCCGATAGACTATGCTATGTTTGTGTGTGTGAGTATTCTCGTATATAGTTAAAAGCTGAAAACATACATAAAGTTAACGAATATTCGCTTCATCAATGTCGTGACGTGCATCGCCACACCAACAGAAGCAACAACAAGTGCACGCCTATGACATAGTTATGATGCAAATGTGTGTGTACATTTGTATGTATGTATGTTTTGGAACAGGCAGTCCCCATATTGTTGTTAGTGCTGTGCTGCTGCGCTGCTCACTCACCTGATGAATTGGTATTTGTTCGTTTCTGGCGTCGTCGTCGTCGTCATCGTCTTGGTTGCTGACTTCTGCTCATCGTCTTGTTGTTTCTTTTTTGCATTGCTCCATTTTCCGCGCGTTACTACAACACGACTGGCAAGTCGATGTTTTTAAAACTAATGTTTAAAACAAAATTAAATAAGTTTTCCGTATTCAGTGGTGCAGTGTGGCCGCGGATTAGTCAATAAAATATACCGTCTGACCCTCAAAAATATACCAAATATATAATTTCTAAATATACCATCTATGGTAAATAATGAATATTATTCTTCTATTTTGATATTCTGATTAATTTTACCAGCTAGTTAGGACTCACAGTGCTCACAGTATAATTTTATTCGATTCATCAATCAATTATCCATGAGATTGGCCAGTTTTCATGACTTCGTTGTATTGGATTGCTTACAAAATAAGGTTCAAGTTAAAAAGGTCAGTCAAAGTAAGCATAAAACGTAACGTACAGTGACTGACAGCATAAATAAACCAAAACAATTTTCAAACTTAAACTTTCTTTATTTGGTTTTCACCAGACACATGTATTATTTCAGAACCAAAATTCATTATCTTTCGAACTTTAACCATTTTAACGTTTTTTTTTAACCCATCTAGACCAATTACAAATTACATGAAAATGTAAAATAAAAATACCTTGCCATGGCGCTCGATAGCTATCGATGATTTTGTGTGTGCATCGATAGCTCTCACAACTTTCGAAGGCAAATTCGCGAAATATGATATGATTTTTTTTTAGTTATTTATTAAAGATATTAGTTAGACATACACTTTCTTCATCATAAATGTTACAAAGGTCAATTTTATAAACACAATATTACAAAAATAACAAAGAGTACATCTGTGGCTCATCAGGTAAATAGTTGATAAATGTTGATTTATAAAGCTCGAAAAAATGTTTCGTTTCCCCAGCAGATAGTATGTTAATTCGGATGATAAAAGGACGTTTTACACAGAGATAATTACCATCAACTAAGTGAATCGTTACAATCGCACATAATTTCACTAACAACAAAACAATATCTTTATAAATCAATTGATTCTAAATATTTCTAATATAATTGTATGTGTGTGTGTTTACATCGGCAACAGCGACTGACTGGCATTACTGCCATCAAATGAGCCGGGCCTCTCGATGGTCATGGATTGCTGCGGCACCTGGCTGTCGGTGCTGATCCCGAGGCTGGCATAAATTTCCTTCATCACAAACAGTATGGTGTCCTCAGAGCCCCTGTTTTAAAGAAATTTATGATTAAATGATGCTGCTAAGATTGCTGGAGAGTGTATGACACGTACCAGTAGCAGACATGACTGCTCAGGGCAAAGATGTACTCATTGATAAACTCCAGCGGTGCTTCCTGCAGCACATAGTCAACGCGTTTCGAATCATTCAGCTTGCCCAGCGGAAAGTCCAGTTCTATGAACTCTGGATCTGAGGACGTTGTCGAGTTGGAATCGGTGCGATTTCTTGTTTTTGTAGATGTGCTGGCCACAGAACTTTCATCTGCATCCTCGATTTGTTTCTGGAACAACGTTGACGAAGACGAGACCTGCTTTGCAAGCGTCTCTTCTGCCTCTTTCTTAACTTTTGTCACTGTGGCCAAAAAGTTAACGCTATCCAGTGTGGTCTTGAATGTGTCCATGAATCGCTGCTTGATATCTGCACCCACACGCGTCATGGTCTCCCTCAGCTCCAGGTGCATGCGCTTGCGTCCCTTGTGATGGGGTATGAGCACAGGACGAATTCCATTCATATCCGCATTGACAAGAGCCTCAATGCGATAGGCGACCGGATCGAAGGGATGGAATATGTTGTAGAAACCCGGACATGTGGGCAGATGAAAGTCCAGGCCAAGCTGATCAATGCCCCGAATGGTCACAAACATGCCAATGGGCGAGCCCAAGGCAAAGAACTTCTTCGGATGGAAGATGAGCTGTGTGTAGTTGATGACCGGCTGCCCGGTGCCAGCCGGACCCATGGTGTAGCTGACCTCCTTGGGCAGCAGATCGCTGGATGGCAGTTGCACCTTCTTGTAGCTGTCCTCTGGCTTATGCGGCAGCTGATCGGGATTCTCCTGCAACAAAAAGTAAGTTAATTCTGGTTTAAAGTTAAATCTAAAGCTGGGTTTACCTTATTTTCCTCTTCGCTCTCTTTGAGTGGCTCCTGATGGCACAGCAAATCGAAGAGGATCAATGAGCCGAGACTATGACCAGCCAAGGAGACACCGCCATTAAATTCGGGATGCCTGAATCTGTACTTCAGATAGACCTCATTGAGGGCATCCGCCACTGTGTTCATAATCTTCTGGCAGTACTTGGGACTGGTGTAGAAGAGTACGTCCAGAAGCGTGTCGTTGGTGAAGTTACGCAGCCTGGGAATCGACTCTAGGGTAATGGATTTCAGCTTCTCATCAATGCCCTCCTCCTCAGAGTGTAGATGGCCATGCCAGGATATGGGCAAGACTTCCACGCGACCCACCAGACCCATATCTGTGGAGTTTTTGTAGTGCGACTGAACCAATTGCTGTGCAATGTTCCTGAAGTCATCGACTGTCAAGGAATTCAAAGGGTTAGCGTGGTATTCTTTGAGCTATAAAATATATTTGTGGACCTACCCACTTCCTCCACTGAGCGCATTTTCAGATCACAAGCCGAGCCAATGCCATGGACCATAAACAATAAATGATCCACGCGCTGCGACTCGCCCTGCTCGATGGTAAAGTCATCCAGATCCCGCTTAACCACACGCGGACGCATGGAGCTCTGTGCACTGGCGCCCCACGAGTCTGAGTTGGGTTGTGGCAGAAAGTGAACGATGACCGTGGGCCCATGGAAGACCACCTGTTCACCATTGGCCAGCATGATCTTTTGATGCCATTCGCCAGTATCTGCCGAACGTTTGTACTCCGCTTCCAGCAGTGCGGCAGTGTCCTCGGTATAGGGCACATATTTGGAGTCTACGCCCTTGTAGAACCACGAGCAGCGACGCACCTCAATGCCCTTGCCCTCCCAATAGACGGGGGTCTTGGTGCGCTCCTTGATGTTGACATCATAGCGGCCACCCTCGACGGGAATAATCAATGTGGAATCTTCTGCAAGGGCAAAGCGATTTATTTATAGACATTTTTTAGAACCTTTTCGAGGGCCTACCATTATGGAGACTCGTTTCAAGCAGCGCCGAATCGTAGTGACTGAATGGTGTCCAAATGAATTTCGTGTCCACTCTGCGCTTGTAGAACCAATGGGCCACCACAGGCGTATAAATCTACAAAGGAAAGGCGTTGATTAAATTCATTCAATTCCTTCTTTTAGCTGCATCCGCACTCACTATAGAAACTGTTGGCGTGGCTGCCTTGTCGCTTGTCGTTGCGTTTGCGTTGGCCATTCTGAGCTCCTTCAAGATCTCCTCCGGCAACTCAGCTTGATGCAACTGCAGTAAATCCTCGCCCGTTTGACGCTCGATTGTTGAATTGCTTGCTGGAGCTGGAGCTGGAGCTGGAGCTGCTGCAGCTGCTGATGTCAGTGTGGAAAACTCTGAGCAGGCAGAGGAAGATGGCGGCTCCACCAAATTGGAAATGGGTGTCTGAGAGCGTGCCTGCAGCTGTTTGACGGGCAATCCGCTGTGCACAATATCGTATTTGAGTTCGCCCGGTGCTGCTGGCTGGTCCTGCAGTGGCGGATTGTTGAAGAAGTTCTGTATGCGCTGATCCTCGTTTGCGTTTGTCGCTGCCTGTGGCTGTGGCACTTGATCAAAGAAATGCGAAGGATCGCTGTTCGTTTGCGGTGCAGCAAGTGGCGTCGCTGCTGCTGTTTCTGTGGCCCCAAAATATCCCGAAAATGAATTCACAATTGAATTTGGTTGTTGGGTATTCTCGTTCGAATTTTCAATGGAGTTCTGGCCTGGCGCTTGCTGTGTTTGGCTTAACAATTGCTCAAACCCGAGTCCTGTTGGCCCGTTACTAGCTTCTGCTGCTGCTGCTGGTGGCTCCTGTGCCAAAGGAGGCGGTGCAATGCCCCGCTGTGTTGGCAGTTCCGGAAATATCTGACTGCCAGGCGGTGCAAAAAAGTTGAAGTCCCCTACAGCCGCGCCTGTAGCTGGCTGCGAAAAGAAACTCTGTAGCGGCGATGGTGCAAGCGGTGGATGGGCTAGGGCCGCGGTAACTCCTCCTGCAAATTCTGCTGGCGGTGCGGCGGTATCCACCTGTGAATCTGCCTGTGCCTCTGCTGCTTGTGGCGCAACAAATCCTATGGGCGGTGGCAGTAAATCTTGTGCTGTCGGTGGTGTCTGCAGCACTTGGGAGGGTGTTGCCAGCGTCTGTGCAAATGGGAGACTTGCTGGAGCTTCTGCAGTTCCAAAGAAATCGCTTGCTTCAGTGGATGATGTTGGAACAGCTTCGAATACTGGTGCACTCGGTTGATGTTCCGCTGAAGCAAAGAGAACGTCAGATGTTGCGTCTCTGGCCTCTGGTGGATAGAGCGGCACTCCCTGGCTCTGATCTGTGGCTGCTGCTGGCACGGGCACAAACAATGGCGCTTCAGCGGCGGGTCTGTCCTCTGCCACTGGTGTAGTATTCGGTGGATACAAGGCAGGAGCCTCAACTGTTGGCGGAACAAACAGTGGAGTCTCTTGGGCCGCTGGCTGTGGCGCAAAGAAAGATATGCCTTGTGTTTCAATTGGTTTTATTTCCTCAGCAGTGGATGTGGTAGGAGCTGCTGCTGTTTCCTGAACGGCTTGCGGCGTGAACAGACCAATGTCCGAAGACGGAGCGCCTTCAAAGAAGGATATGCCTTGGCTGGAAGATGTTGCCTGGATGGGCACGGGATTTTCCTCCTGTTTGGGCTCTACGACCGCTTGTGGAATGAAGAATGGCGTTGCCTTGGGTGCTGGCTGTGGCGCAAAGAAGTTAGCTCCTTGATTGGTCGCTTCAAAGGCAGCTGGGGGAGCCGGTCCTTGATCAATCGTTTGTGGGGGAGGCGCAAATAGTGCAACTCCAGAGCTTAGTTCGCTCTCCTGCTGAACAGCTGGTGGATTGGGAGCTGCTGGATTGAATACTCCGGCAGTGCCGCCTGCGCCAAATGGATTGAATATGGCACCTGCTGGAGCTGCTGCTGTGGTGCCAAAGGGCGTGCCGTATGCTGACGATGTGGCTGTTTCCTGTGCACTCAATGGACTCTTGTAGAGACGCGTGCCCTTCTGCAGGCGATACGATGCCTGTCCAGCGGCCGGTGGTGGTGCAGCGAGACTTGCAGGTGGTGGTCCAGAGACACTAGCAGGTGGAGTTGCTGCTGCTAAAGGTGGTCCAGCCAATGGGGTTGGATATGATGGTGTTCCTGCTGCTGCGGGTGCAAAGAATCCTCCTGCTAATGGAGGAGGAACGGCTGGTGGTGGTGCAACAGATGGAGCAACAGTTGGCACTGCTGCTGGAGCAACACTTGGAACTGCTGCTGGTGTAAGGAATCCTCCAGCTGATGAGGTGTTTGGTGCTGAAGTTGGGGCAAACAAACCGCCAATTGTTGAAGCAGCTGCTGCTGTGGATGTTGTCAAAGTTGGCACTGCTGCTGGAGGTGCAGTAAATCCTCCTCCAAGCGTAGTTGTTGGCGTTGCTTCAGCAATACGATTGACCTCAATGGGCGCCGGACCGGGCGTGAAGAAACCTCCAACTGTGGGCGCAACTGTTGCTGCTGCTGCTGGTGTAAAGAATCCTCCGATTGGTGGTGCCGCCGAGTTTGGATTGATATCAGTTGAGGGTGCAAAGAATCCTCCTACTGGAGCAGCAGCTGTTGGTAGCGGATTGGCTGGCTGTGTAAAGAATCCTCCGACTGTTGCTGAGTCAGGCACAAAGTAGCCTCCCGCTGCTGCTGGTGGTGCCCCAAAATAGTTGCTCGACTGTGCTGGAGGAGCAACTGTGTTGATGTCAAAGTAGCTGCCGCCAGCTGTTGGTGGATTACTGGAGGGCTGCTCGCTGCTTCTGCCTGTGGCGGACTGTACAAGTCCAGAGATATTTTGCAGCACGCTAGTGGGCACAAGATTGGTTAGAGAAAAGAGACCACCTCCGGATTTGCGCTCCTCTGTGGGAGGAACTACTGGAGCAGTTATCTCAAAGGGAGCTGCAGCTGGAGCTGGAGCTGGAGCTGGTGCTGGATATGGTGGCGTTTGGAAGGGCAGACCTGTCTGTGGCGTTGATGTAGCCTGTGGGCCCAGTGCCGACTGCTCGGCGGTGAAGCCCGGAATGGGTGCGTAAATCTTCTTTCTGGCTGTGAGCCGATAAGTGTTGGGATTGCCCGCCGCTGTGGGTGGTGCACTGGCAATGCCTACACTCGCTGCTGGCACCTCAGTGGGCGCATAGAACTTGGGCGGCTCTGGGGCAGCAACAATCTCATCCACTGCCGTGGGTGGTGCCGCATAGAATGGTGGTGGCGGTGCAGCAGCTACTGGCGGTGGAGCGTAGTGTGACGCCTGCTGTATGTACGTGGGTTGTATGTCCAATTTCGGCTCCTCCGATTCCTTGGTGCCCGCGTAGATTCGTTTTGAGAATGTGGAAAAGACATTGGATGCCACTGCGGGCAATGCTGTGAAGGATGAGGCTGCCTGACTCAACAATGAATCGTTTCCTTGACCGGGCGGTGGTTCCAGCAAGGGATTGGCATTACCATCGCCAGTGCCGCGCAAATACGCTCTCGATAATGCACCACTCGAGTCCTCGCTGCTCGTATTCAAGTTGATCTCATCGAGGGCTTCGCTGTCATCGATTCCCGATGGTTGGCCCACAGTAACCAATGTTTTTGGCTCTGAAAAGAGACAGATTTCGATTAGATTGGTGGGTGGGTGGTTGGCGCTCATTCTCGTTCTCTGACGAGAGCTGTAATAAATGCAAATTAAAACCGACTTCAAGCTGACAAACACAATTAACACAAACGGCACACCGGCCAAACTGATTCCAAACTGGTTTACGCCTCGGACTTGGACTCGGACTTGGAGACTCGCTGCTTGGACTAGGCCAGCAGCAGTAACCAGCAGCAAACCAGCAACCAGCAACCACAAAGTCAGCAACATTATCATTAGGCCTGGTCCCCTCCAACCATAAATTAATTTTTTTTTCTTAATCTTTCTGTTGGATATACTCTGCCGCAGTATGAAGGCTTACAATAACTTTTAACGTTTGGTGTTGTTTAGAAATAAAGCTAAAGATCAAGATAAAATCATATGGAACTAGAGTCTATAATCCCATCAAAAAGATAAGCTACTACAGATAGCGCAGATTTATAGTAAATATTTGAAATAAAACTTTTCTTTCATTCACCAAAAATCTTCATGTTTTGCTTTTTGTTCATATTTTATTCTTCAGGTTCCTCCTTTGACTTGAAATGATTTAATTTTTATAGTTCAACAATCAGCACTCTTCATACACATTAAAAATTTAATTCACGTTATAGCCGCCTCATAAAAAGCCAAAACTTGACATTAGCCAAAAGAAAAATACAATCGGACGGCAGGGCGGGCAGCGCACAAATGTCATGGCATTTGACGGTTGGCTCTGGCAAAATGTTTTCTGGAATAAAACTACATAAATAAATGCTGGAAAATGCAGGCCCAAGACGTGTCATTTCGACAGCGAATACGTCAAAGAATTCACCTCGATCTTGAAACGTGATTGGGCGGCCTGCAGTTAGTATTGGTTTTCACACCTTCAATGTGCAATGGTGCCGCCGCCGGCAACTATTTTAAGAACTGCATTTTGTACATATTTAAGCGCAAGTTTGGAATTTTTGTGCCCGCAGCTGCATAACCAGCTCTCAGACCAAAAGCTAGAGGCCAAAGCAAGAGACAGAGAGAGAGAGAGAGAGAGAGACACTAAGATGCCAAGGAAAGTGCAGAGAGGTCTAAGAATTAACTGAGAGTCGCTGATAGATCAGGTCCGAGATGCAAGGCAGATGCGCCCGGAATAGTCACGGATATTAATCAACTGCTTGGGAGTATTTTAATGTTTTAATATTGCATCCCACAAATGTGCAGTTCATAAATGTTAAGTGGTAATGCTTAAGTAATTGACATTTGTTGGCATTTATCTTCTTGATGTAAGAAGACATATGATTAGAGAGAAATATATTAAAATATAATCACAGGGGAAAATGAATTTAATGGGGAAACCCAAGCTTCTGCGAGCGGTTCTAAGGGTTAAGTTAGCTGTCATCCCAGAGATTTTCCCCCTGATTTGCATACAGATTATGCCATAAATATGTACATTTATTTGTATTATTATTTGTTGTTCTTGAAGTCTAACAAACTTTGTTCATTACGTGCCGGGTTTTCCACACTTTCGCTTTCGAGGCACCACCAAAAAGGTTCCACCAAATATTGCCGTAGCCTTCACTTATGGACAATAATTAGTCACTTAAGATAAGATAATGCCTCATTAGAGACAGGCCTACAGCGAAACTTGAACGTTTTGTGATGATTAATCTGCGATTATTGAAAGAAAATCGAAATTATATAAATGTTCTAAAGGAGAGATATTTTTTGACACTGTTCAAACCCATTTTAATTGATCAACAAATCGACAAAAACCTAGCCTAACTTTTTAATATTTTAGCTGCTTTTTTGCTGGCTCTGTAGGCTGTCACTTTTTTAAGGGGTCATCCATTTGGTAATGTCTAAGCAAAGATTTGCACTGGCAACTACTCTGGAGGTGGGGCTTCGACTTTGACTTGGGAAAACATTGAACGGCAACAACAAAAACCCACAAATAATTCCAGTTTGTTTTAAGTTTAGTGGGGTTTTTATTTAGTGTTTCTGTTGTGTTTTGTTGTAATGTCAATGACGCATTACGACAAATGTGTTAAAATAAATAAAGAGCGACAGACGCCTGTCTAACCGCAAAAAATGTGGAAATAAAGTAGAACAACCTTTTTGTTCAAACATAAAACATACAGCAAAAAAAAAAACGTGGAAGAATTCTTTATGTTTGAATGCTGAACATGACATCATAACGAGACACTGAAGAAGCAGCAGCAGAAGATGATGATGAAGACGAACTCCAACTCCAACTCGAGACCAAGTGCCTGCCAGTGCCAGTGGCACATAATGGCACTCAAATAAAACAATTAAGGCCCGCATAAGCACGTCAAGGCATGAAGATGAAATCATTTGCAGGATACACAGATACAGAGAAGAGACAAGCCTCTCTCTCCATACAGACTGCCATCCATTTTTTTTAGGGGCTGGCTTTAAACGAACGAGCAAAAGGCTCGTGCAGGTCGCATGCCAAAAATTGTGAGCATCCAAAAAAAGAAGCAAACGCCAAGCAACAAGCGAAATTGTTGGCATTGAGCCCTCGGGCAAAACAGAGACAACAAGAAACAAAAAAAAAACCAAGAAAAGCAAAACCAAACCAGACCAAAATGAAATCAAAATAAATCTCAATACAAAATTCGTGCTTTTTTGGACCTACCGATCCGACCCCTGAAAAGTCTGAAGAGCAGCTGCTCGAGACGGTATGTCTGCCGGTGTGCCAGCGGCTAAATATTATAAATAAAATGTGTGCACATCTCAAGATACCCTTGCCGAAAGGGTGCTACAGACACGCGAGGAATGTGCCAGAAGGCGGACATTAGAGTGAAGTGTTTGGGATATTTTTTTAGAGATTTATTCAGAGAGCAAAATGTAGAATGTGATAAAGTATTTTTATTGATTTTTGCATGAATTCTTACCACACAGTTTCCCATCTATATAATTCAATGTCAACAGAGTTTCCTGAGCAATAACCTTCTTTAGGCACAGAAAATACACAAGTGTCCTTTGCGTTCCCTTCTTCATGCCATCCCCGGCTTAACTCTGGTAATCACTTGCGTGCCAAACCCATCGCAAAATCGTATTACCCTCCAGAAATTTCTGCCCGCATCGATCTCTCATTCCAGAACAGGACAAACAAAAGACTTAGGCAACAAACGCAGGTAGCCGCGAGTTTAGCTGAAAAATGTATGACCCGAAAAGTGATCCATGCATATTTTCGTGAGTATTTTTTTCGGGGTTTTTCCCCTCACCCTACCATTTATGCTAATTATGTCAAAACACCCACTGCCGCCGGCACACCCACAGTCCTAGTACCAAGTGACACATCTGCGGTAATCTCTCGCCTCGCTTCCTTCTGGATACGATTCCACTGATATTATCTTATCGATTTGAGCGACATTATGAGGTGTGCCCTGTTTGAACTATAACGAGGCACTCGTATCTACCCTGCCATTTGCAACCAATTGTTCAATATTTAAACAATTTATGAGCCAGCCATACAAAGCCGACCACAACTTTCAAAAGTACAAAAAGGTCAGTAATTAGTGGAGTTTTTTTAGTTGTGTCTCAATCGCGAAACGATCTGGAGCTGTCCAACAAAAAAATACAGAACAGTGCGCGTCATCAAGTGTCAAGTGTGAGAGGAAAACAAAAGGATACGAAAAGTTCACGAAACAAAAACCATTCAAAGGACTACGAGTACTTTTGTGTAGGTTGTTGCTTAAGCAAATTAAAGGATAATAATCGTGTTTATAATGGAGAAGTTCGAGTTGCAGACAAACAAATTAAATCACAATTTTATTACAGCTTTTAACTGTTTTAATCTATTAGTAACTATAGCCCAATATCCAAAGCCAAAGCACGACTTCCCTTTGAATGTGTAGCCATTAAAATAGTAATATTTACCCCTACCTAAATCAAACATAAAATATCAAATGCTATCCCACAAAATTCCCCAAAAAAACACCAAACACTAGGCACCGCCTTGCACCAGTTCTTCTATTTGCGGCTCGTTTTGGCTCGGCTCGTCTGTTTGTCACATTTGAAAACAAGTTGGTTACTTTAAATTAACACTTTTCTGGTGTGGGACGGGGACGCGGGGGACACTCACATCGTACACATGTGTTTATATATTCATCAATAAATTTGAACCAGCCTCCAAGCGGCCGAAAACCCAAGCCAGAGCCAGCAGCAAATGGAAACGATAATCAAGACTCAAAACGATGCAAAACGATTGCCAAATATTTAATTTGGTTTATTAAAAGGGTTTTCCTGTGTGCCAGAAAGTTGTTAATTGCAACACACAAGAAACCAGCAGCAACAAATACTACGACGAGTAATACAACTGCAAAAACAGCAAGCAACAAGACAAAATTGATTGCATAATTATTAACGAAAGCATGGCAAAAAAATGCAGGAGAGAAAAAAGTTAAACGCAAAGTGAAAATTGCGTGAGCTGCATAAATTCTCAATGCAATAAATTTGTTTTCAATTTTTATGTATTTTGGGTAGGGAAGGAGAGTGCGTGCCGTAATTGAATGTCTCTCGACAATTTCCATATCCTGGACATTATTATAATTATTTAATATTCAAAATAAATCAAAGCAGATTTTAATTAGCTTCTGCCGAGATCTAAGGATTGCTAAATAGGTTCTTAGTTGGCGGAATCCCTTCTTAACTTGCGCTTTAGTTCATCAACTTTCTTAGTTGTCGTTATGCGAATATTTATCATAGATCTTCCATAGATAAGATAGAAAATCAATCCTAAATGTAGGTATAACTATCTATGTACGTTTCCGAACCCTCAAATCGTAATTACGATTCTAAAATTACTGTCTAAAAATATGCCTTGTTTAAATGAAATTTATAATAATATATTCTCTATCATAGAACATTCTTTCTTTAGGATTTCATTAATATTTAATTATATTTCAACGTTCTCAAAGCCATTTATAGCCTTATGTAGAGTGATTTAAGCACCACGACATGCAGGAAGTTT